TTAAAAAAAAAAAAAAAAAGTTTGGGCACCTGGGTGGTGGCTCAGTTGGTTAAGTGTTGAGTCTTGGTTTTAGTTTTGGTTGAGTCTTTGGTTTCTGTCTCTGTCTCTCTCAAAATAAAAAAATAAATTAAAAAAAAAGTAAATATCTTTTTTTTTTTTCTTATTTATTTTGAGAGAGCACGAGCTGGGAGGGTCAGAGAGGATCCCAAGCAGGCTCTTTGCTGTCAGTGTGGAGCCTGGCACAGGGCTTGAACTCATGAACCGTGAGATCATGACCTGAGCTGAAATCAAGAGTCGATGCTTGAGCCACCCAGGTGTGCCAAAAGATAATTGTTTTTTTTTTTTTTTTTTTAATGTTTATTCGCTTTTTGAGAGACAGAGTGTGAGCAGGGCAGGGGGCAGAGAGAGAGGGAGACATGGAATCAGAAGCAGGCTCCAGGCTCTGAGCTGTCAGCACAGAGCCTGACGTGGGGCTTGAACTCACAGACAAAAAATATGATTCAGACTCTAGACATTTGAAACTTGTTCATATTATCTCTTGAGTCTTTTGAAGTCAGTATGTTTCCCCTCTTTTTTTTTGTTTTTTGTTTTTGTTTTTTTTGTTTCTTCTTGTTGTTGCTGTTTTGCAATTATATTTGTTGAAGAAGCAGGGGTTTTTTGTCCTGGATCTTGATGATTGTATCTCCATAGTATCATTTAATGTGTTCCTCTGTCCCTGTCCCCTGCCTGTATTTCCTGGGTATTGGTAGTTACTGTTCAAACCTCAGGCTTGAACAGATTCAGGCTGGTTGGTTGTTTTGGGCAAGACCACTGTATCAGAAGCCAGTTGATGACTGTTTCTTTCTTTGTGAATTTAGAAATGATTGGTGATTATGGCTCAGATCCGTTATTTCATTAGGGGTATAACAAATTGCTGGTTTTGTAATTCCTTTATTTTTCTTCATTTATTTCCACTTATTAATTGAAACACATTAAGGTATTTTCCTCACCAACTGTTTGGTTTTCTATAGTGCACATAGGAAAGGGAAGTAAGAGAAATGGTTGATTTGTTCCTTTATTTATGAGTTTCAAAATAATGCATTGGTCCTTTCAACCAGGGATCCTCCAAAGGTAAAGTTTTTATTTTTTTCGTTATAGACAAATACCATTAGTCTTTGCTGTAGAAGAACTGATAGAAGACTTCTAATGCTATTTTAGTTTTGTTTTTTTTTTTTAATTCAAGTTAGTTAACATATAGTGTAATAATGATTTCAGGAATAGAAGTTAATGATTCATCACTTACATATAACACCCAGGGCGCATCCCAGCAAGTGTCCACCTTAATGCCCCTTGCTCATTTAGCCCATACCTCCCACCTAGTAGCACCCCACCAGCAACCCCCAGTTTGTTCTCTGTATTTAAGAGTCTCTTGGATGGTTTGTGTCCCTCTCTGTTTTTATATTATTTTTGCTTCTCTTCCCTTATGTTCATCTGTTTTGTATCTTAAATTCCACATATGAGTAAAATCCTAGGATATTTGGCTTTCTCTGCCTGATTTATTTCAAACAGCATAATACATTCTAGTTCCATCCACATTGTAGCAAATGGTAAGATTTCATTCTTTTTGATTGCCAGGTAATATTCCAGTGTGTGTGTGTGTGTGTGTGTGTGTGTGTGTGTGTGTGTGTGTGTGTGTCTGTCTCTGTGTATCATAGCTTCTTTATTCATTAGTTGATGGACATTTGAGCTCTTTCCATACTTTGGCTATTGTTAATAGTGCTGCTATAAACATTGGGGTGCATGGCCCCCCTTCAAATCAGCACTCCCATATCTTTTGGATAAATACCTAGTAGTGCAATTGCTGGGTTGTAGGGTAGTTCTATTTTAAATTTTTTGAGGACCCTCCACACTTTTCCAGAGTAACTACATCAGTTTGCATTCCTACCAGCAGTGCAAAAGGGTTCCCCTTTCTCCACATCCTTGCCAGCATCTGTTGTTGCCTGAATTTTTAATTTTAGCAATTCTAAATGGTGTGTGGTGGTATCTCCTTGTGGTTTTGATTTGTATTTTCCTGATGATGAGTAATGTTGAGCATTTTTTCATGTGTCTGTTAGCCATCTGGAGGTCTTCTTTGGAGAAGCGTCTATTCATGTCTTTTGCCCATTTCTTCACTGGATTATTTGCTTTTTGGGTGTTGAGTTTGAGAAGTTCTTTATAGATTTTGAATACTAACTGTTTATCTGATCTGTTATTTGCAAATATCTTCTCCCATTCCACTGGTTACCTTTTAGTTTTGCTGATTGTTTCCTTTGCTGTGTAGAAGCTTTTTGTCTTGAGGGTAGTTATTTCAGTTTTTAAACATGTTTGGTTAGTTTTAACCTATTGCAGTTATTCTTTTTCTTTTTTTCAGTTTGTTTATTTTGAGAGAGAGGTGCGAGCAGGGGGGAGGGGCAGAGAGAGGGAGAGAGAGAATCCGAAGCAGGCTCTAAGCTCTTAGCACAGAACCCAGTGTAGGGCTTGAACCCATGAACTGCAAGATCATGACCGGAGTTGAAATCAAGAGTTTGATGCTTAACTGACTGAGCCACTCAGGTGCCCCTACAATTATTGATACTCAGATTTGTCCCAATTTTGGCCATTAGGGGCCTCATCTTCCTGGCTTGAATCCTTTTGACTTGACCTCAGGGGTTCTTTTGTTTTCTGCTGTTATAAGATATCCTAGGTTCATCTTGTATAGGTTTAGCTGTAAACCTGAAATTAGCATTTCTTTAGGGAGTCCTGGTTCCTTTTAAGAAAATGTCATTTATTTTTTTATTTTTTTATTTTTTTCAACGTTTATTTATTTTTGGGACAGAGAGAGACAGAGCATGAGCAGGGGAGGGGCAGAGAGAGAGGGAGACACAGAATCGGAAATAGGCTCCAGGCTCTGAGCCATCAGCCCAGAGCCCGACGCGGGGCTCGAACTCACGGACCGCGAGATCGTGACCTGGCTGAAGTCGGACGCTTAACCGACTGCGCCACCCAGGTGCCCCAAGAAAATGTCATTTAAATACCAGGATTTGGGGGTGATGACTGGCTCAGTCAGTAGAGCATGTGATTCTTGATCTCAGGGTTGTAAGTTCAAACCCCAGGTTTGGTATAGGGATTACTTGAAAATAAAATCTTTAAAAATAAATAACCAGAATTTGGTTTCTAGGAGTAATAGCTATTGGTTTGCTCATTGTTTTTAGGTCTTTTCAGAAGATAGAACTAAGTAATAAATTTTACTTGTTTGTTTTAAAGATAAATCTTAAATACATGCCAATACTTTTAATTCAAATTTCAGACTGGAGAGTTGTTTATTATTTTGTGTCTTACATCTATCATCTTTTCCCATGATGAGAAATTCAGTTCTTACCACTCCAAACATAACTACTCATTTGCTTTAACCTGAAATATACACAACAGCTTCAGAGTAATACCGCAAAGATCACCAATAATGTGATGATTTTAAATTTGTGTATATATATATTTTTATCCTTAGGGTATGTACACAGTGTACAAAATAATTGAGTTTTAAAGTTACTTGAGAGGCACCTGGGTGGCTCAGTCAGTTAAGCATCCAAATTCGGCTTGGTTCATGATCTTGTGGTTTGTGGGTTTGAGCCCATGTCATCTCTCTGCTGTCAGCGTGAGCCCGATTTGGATCCTCTGTCCCTTTCTCCCTCTGCCCCTCCCCCACTCTCTCTCTCTCAAAAAATAAACATTAAAAAAAAGTTTTTTATTACGTTTGTTTTTTTTTGAGAGGCAGAGAGAGGGCATGAGTGGGGGAGGGGCAGAGAGAGAGACACACACAGAATCCAAAGCAGGCTCCAGGCTCTGAGCTGTCAGCCCAGAGCCCGACGCGGGGCTCGAACCCATGAACCGTGAGATCATGACCTGACCCAAAGTCGGTCATTCAACCGACTGAGCCACCCAGGCGCCCCCAAAAATAAACACTTAAAGTTATTTGAAATAGGTGTTCTCTTTGTGATTTTTCTTACTGACTCAGTTTGTAGTTGGGTTCCCTGTTTTCTACTTTACTTTTGATTTTTAGATACTGCTTTTTAAACTTAATTTTGTTTTATTAAATTATGAAAAAAATTTGTTTTTCCAAAGTGAAATTTATCAATAACTAGAGTGATTTTGCTTATATCCCTGTACCTTCCACCCAGTTCCTTCCTTCTTCTTATGGGTAATCATTGTTTTTGGTTTCCTTTTAAAACACAAGTAGTGGTGGATGAGAACCTGGGTCTCTTGACTTCTCAGCCCAAGTGTTTTATGGGAAGAATAAAGTCTTTTATATATATTAACTAATTTAGTCTTCTAGCCAACTTTGTGGTGGGTACTGTTACTGTTTCCACCGTACAGGTTTTACCTTTCCCTTCTCTTTACTTCCATAGTATTCATCTGTATCTCTGTTACGGCATCTATTCTGTTAATTGAAAGCTCCTGAGGGCAGGGACTAGCACATTTTTGTTTGCTCTGTCATACCCAGCACAGTGCCAATCACAGCAGACATTCAATATGTATTGAGTAAACGAATAAAAGATTAAACAGTCCATTCAGGAAAAAAAAGAACTTTGGTGTAAAAGCATGGGAATTTAGGGGCACCTGGGTGGTTTAGTCAGCTGAGCATCCCACTTTGGCTCAGGTCATGATTTCATGGTTTGTGAGTTCAAGCCCTGCATCGGGCTCTCTGCTGTTGGAGCAGAGCCTGCTTGGGATCCTTTGTCTCCGTCTCTCTCTTCGCCTCCCCTGCTTGTGCTCGCTCGCTCTCTCTCTCAAAAATAAATACATAAACATTTTAAAAAATTGGTTTAAAAAAAAAAACCATGGGAATTTAAAGTTGTAGTTCTGCCACCTGGAGTTGTGGCCACTCTGCTTTAAAAGGTACAGACATAGGAGCACCTGGGTGGCTCAGTGGTTAAGTGTCCGACTTCAGCTCAGGTCATGATCTTATGGTTCCTGAGTTGGAGTCCCATGTCAGGCTCTCTGCTGTCAGCACAAAGCCTGCTTCAGATCCTCTCTGTGCCTCTCTCTCTGCCCCTCTCCTGTCACGCATGTACTCTCTCTCTAAAAAATAAACATTAAAAAAAAGTGCGACATAAGAGCGGTTATCTCTTACCCCTTTGGATGGAGTATGATCGGTTACTTCTCCTAGGATCAGGACACTTGTAAATCTCCTTAATTTCCTGTCCTTCACTGGAGTTAGGCAATGAGAGTGCTGAGCCAAAAAGAGTGGTGGGTGCAAGGGCCCTGCAGTCAGAATTCTGGGTTCATCTTAGCTGTCATTGAGTATGTGGGTAACCTTGGGCAAAGCTCCTTTTTGCTCAGTTTCCCCCCCTATAAAATGGGGTAACAGTATCTACATTATAAGTTGAAATAGTTCCTGGCACACCATTAAGTGGTCTATAAAGGTTTGCTGGTAGTAGTAGCAGCAGCAGCAGCAGCAGTGTGGCACAGTTTATATCATTTTAAAAATAATTTTTAAAAATTAAAAAAAATTTTTTTACATGTATTTATTTTTGAGAGACAGAGCACAAGTGGGCGAGGGGCAGAGAGAGAAGGAGACACAGAATCCAAAGCAGGCTCCAGGCTCTGAGCTGTCAGCACAGAGCCTGATACGGGGCTCGAAAACTGTGAGATCATGACCTGAGCCGAAATTGGATGCTTAACCAACTGAGCCCCCCAAGCACCCCCGGGAGTTTTTTTTTAATGTTTATTCTTGAGAGAGAGAGACAGAGCACAAGTGGGGGAGGGGCAGAGAGAGGGAGACGTGGACTCCGAAGCAGGATCCAGCGTCCGAGCTGTCAGCACAAAGCCCGATGCAGGGCTAGAACCCATGAACCACGAGATTATGACCTGAGCCAAAGTCGGACACTTCACCAACTAAGCCACCCAGGCGCCCCAGAGTTTGTATCATTTTGATAAAGATTAGGACCTTTAAACGTTTTGGGATATGTGTTGGGATTTTCAAAACCACTCCCAAAATTCACAGGAAGGACTCCTAGGACTCAGCATGTAATTGTACTCATGACTAAGATTCATTATATAGTCATGTAGTAAGGATACGCAGCTGGATTATAAGGGAAGAGACAGGCAGAGTCTGAAGGAATGCATGTGGAGGCTTCCTCTTGCTGTCTCCCATGAAGGAGAGCACATTCTTCTAGCAACAAAAACATAGCAACAGGTATGTGATGTTTCTGCCCAGAGAAGCCCATTAGAGACTCAGCACCCAAGATTTTTATTCAGGGCTGGTCACATAGGGATCCTCTGCATAGCACATACCAAAATTCCAGATGTCCCCAGAAGGAAAACAGGTGTTTAGCGCAAACTGTATGATTGTTTGCACAAACAGACAAGACACACAGGGAGTCACCCTTACACTTAACTGTTGACTGGGAATACTCCGGGAGCCGAGTTCCCAGACACCACCCGAGGGCCAACCTTGTAGGGTGGCCCTTCTACGAATGGCAACCTCTGAGGTCTTTCAGTATTAACGCTTTTCTGTGCAGGGTAAAAAATGACACTGTCTGCCCCAGAGTCCGATCATGATCATTCTGGGGTACTGGATATGGAAGCTATGGTGGGTAATTCAGGTATCATTATTTTTGCTGTACTTCTTTTTCAGAATGGCTTTGACTACTTGTTGACCTACAGTGACAATCCCCAGACTGTGTTTCCTCGCTACTGCGTTAGTTGGATGGTTTCCAGTGGTGAGTGGGCACTTGTATACAGGGCCTGGAACCTGGGCTGAGCATTTTGTTTTTCTCTAGCTCTTAATGGCAAGCAAGATTAGTGCTTGTCTCATGGGAGCACTGTTGGAGAAATTAAATATCTTTCCTGGTCCATTCTTGAATACTATGAAGACATTGAAGCCTCCAGCTGGGGTTCAGAGGGATGAGAGTTAGGGAGTCCCTGAAAGCAACATGTGCGTGCCCAGAAGGGAGTTTTAAGAACAGTTGCTTAGCTTTTATTCCTTAAATATGGACTGTGTATGTTAATGTGTTAACATTTTTTTTCTTTTTAGATAGTGTTGGGAGGCCATACAGTCTGGTGGAAAAAATGTGGTAGTTATAGGACAGTAACCTTGAGAAAGGGGCTACCATGTATCTTGACAAAGGCTACATATCACAGCTGTAACTGTACCTTTTTCTTCCAATTCCTTGTTTTAAAAAGCATCCTCATGTGATTTTCTTTCTTTTGCTTCTCTGTAGGCAGCTTCTAATACCTCAGGGGGAGAATGGAGAGATTAGGTGTTTGTGTTTGATATTTGTCTAAATAAAATTGGCAGATAATTAGGCTATGCTACTGATAAGCGGTGTTTTAATCACCTAAAAGCCTTATGCGGCTTGATCAGTACCCCTTTCCAAAGGATCTCCGAGGTCATGGATTGTTTTCACTCTGTATACATTTTAGGAGGCAGCTGTCACTCACAGGTTGTTGATTAGGCTGTGATCTCTATAAGAAAGGAATTTGGCTCCCTACCATGAAAGAAATAGGGCCTTCTAATTTTGAGCCTATTGTCAGTTTGTATTTCAGCCTACCCAGATTTTCCTCTCTCCCACCAGGCATGCCAGATTTCCTGGAGAAGCTGCACATGGCCACTCTGAAAGCCAAGAACATGGAGATCAAAGTAAAGGACTATATCTCATCTAAGCCTCTGGAAACGGGTAGTGAAGCCAAGGCTACCACCCCGTCTTCAGAGCGGAAGAATGAGGGTAGTTGTGGCCCTGCCCGGATCGAGTACGCTTGAAGGGTTTTGGGATAAGAAGGGACAGGCTGCTTTTAGCCCTGTCTCAGTTCCTTATCTGCTACAGAATGGGGACATGTATTAGAAAGCGTCTGCTGTAACCACCAGTGCAGGATGACTCAATAACTGGTGTCCGATTTCATTCAGAGCCCTTATTGCTCTTTATCAAAACAGGAGGAATCATCCATGAGGGCGTTGTCATATTCTCAGGCCCAGCATTTTGAAATTCAGTATTTCATTGAGCTAATCTGGAACAAACCTCTCACCTCAGGCCAGAAGGGGACAACTTCTTTTCGCTTCCTGAGTAGTTTCCTCTGCCAACATTCCAGTTCTCACCATCGGTTCTGCAGCGCTTGGGATTTCCTTCAGTTCTGAAGGTCCAGCTGGAAAGTACAGTTGGCCAGTTGAGTCTTCAATGAGGGGTCATTGGGAGTGCTCTTGGTAACAGTCCTAGTGTTGAATGGATGTGAACTATTGCTTGGCAGTGTAAGTGCCTTGTCCTCACCCTGCTTCTATCTTTAGGGACATCAAGTTTGTACCAAGGAATTTCTGCCTCCCAAATACCACCCCATTGACTCGCCATCCCCCAAAGCAGTTTCCTTTGCATTGACCAGTTCTTCTCTATTCATGCCCTATATTAATTTGGATCATCGCCTCCTTCCTTAGTCCATTTATCAAGAACACTGGGAAATGAATCCTTTCAGATGGTAGCTTTCTGTGTCATCAGTATTTTGATAGGGTCAATGGTGATGCTCAAAATATCACACTTTAGGTTTGGGTTTTTTTTTTTTTTTTTAACCTTTGTGTCAAAACGTAGGAATTGGGAACTTGAGTAGGATTTCTCCATAGTCCTACTGTATAGAAAACACCATTTTGATTCAGGCATTATTTTTCACACTTCAGGTTTGACTGGATGCTGAGGACTTGTCCATCTTGGAAGGCTAAAGGCAGAGGAATGGGGGTTGGGCCACTCCCTTGGAGCTCTCAGAGCTGTAGACAAGCTGTGTGTGAAGAAATAGATGTAATCTTGCCCCAAATACTGATATAATGGGGATGTGGTTTATGTGACCCTTTTGTTCCTCTGCAAAGTTTTTCCTCCTCTTTTCAGAGTTAAAACGAAAGCAAACTACACTGTTTGGGTAAAGTCACAATCAGATGGTATCAGTTTGGCCTGGCTGATTTTGCTTATGGTCCTGCTGCAATCTGACAGAATAGGGATCAAGTTTTAAATACTCCCTTGTCTTTTTTCCGTAGAATTTAAACGGCTGGATTTTCCCCTTTTTTCCTACTTGGCTACCCTTTTGTGTTGTTGAAAAGGGGATCTAAGCCTCAGATTGACTCAAACCTCTGGACATTTTTGTTGCCTGTTAAGTTTTGTGCCAAGGAAATAACTGCCCCCGTGTTTCATGTCTTGCCTTCTCTGAGTCATTGGCAGAACAGAGAGATGTGTTGAGTATCTCCAGCTTCTTTTCGTTGATCATTTCTCTCTTCTCATCCCCAGGACTTCACAGAAGCCAGGGAAAAGCTCCCTGGGCTATGTCTGAACTTAGCGCCTGTGATTGTTGGGGCATGGATGGTGGTGTGGGCAAGAGTGTGTGAGTGCACAGGTGTTAAGGAGCTACGTGTTGCTCATGTTCCTATTTTTGGCAACTTGACCCTATACTTGGGGTCAGTCTGTACAGTTACTTATGTCATTGTAATGATTTCACTTCTAACTGTGACATTTTTATCAAATGTGTGAATAAATACATAAAGATTGGTACAAGAGTGTTTGTCTTTGGACATGTGGTGGTGGGAAATCTTGTGTATTGGGCTTATGGTTTCTTCCTGATCAGAAAGTTGGAGTGTTTCTACTTAGGGTTGGCACATGGAAGCAGCAAGGTGTGGTCTGGGTAGGGGCTAACACAGAGCTAACCACCTTGCCTTGATTATGAGCCCTTTCCAGGTAGCCAGTTTGGCAAATGAAAACAAACCACCTGTTTCCACTTCGTTGTCTTGATCTACTCACCATCTCCTTTGCTTTTAAGGAAGGATCAACTTGAGGAAACAGTGTTTGAGCTTTGCTGACAGTGAAACTTGGGAGGGAGCAAGGAAAGGAGGAAAGGATTTGAGGAAGCCAGGTTTAGTGCGGGAGGCAGACCGGGACTTTGGCTGGAGAGGGAGGGTGGTGAGTTCAAACCCCACTTGGCCTGGTGGGAAGTAGGGTCACACAAGCAGTTCTGCTAGAGTGTAAATTTGTTGCAAGGCGATGGATAGATCGGAGACACTTAAGAGCGTAACGTGAACTTTGAGTTTATGTGTGATTCTGCCTGTGGGAAACACTACGTGAACACAAATGTACACCTGAAACATTAAGGCTCTTTTCTCCAAATTGTTCGGAGGTAATCACTGGAAAGCCATGCCTGCTTGTAGACTACTTGTTAGGTGTTGTATGCTTATGGGTGCACATGTGTTTTTATAATCAGTTTGGAGAGTTGGTGACTCTGGCCTCCGCCCTGCTGCAGAGGCCCCTACACGTGGCATCCTTGACATCGTTCTCCAGATTCTGCATTAACACTTCCACTGAGAAGCATTTGAGTTCTTACAGAAAGCAACATTTCCATTGTTGGACAGTTCTAGCTTTCAGGAAGTCCTTTATGTTGAGACTAAACGTGCCACCTCAGCGTCTACCAGAATCAGTGGGTCAAGCCCTGTCTTTGGAACAACACAAGGAAAACATTTCCATGGGATAGTACTTCACATTCTTGAAGACAGTGCTCATGTGACCTTTACCCTTCCCCAGGTTTTCTGTTGCTAGCAGCTTCAAAAATCCTTCCAACTCTTTATTATGAAAATGTTTGAAAAATTGAAAAATAATAAAACTTTGTATGCCCTCCCCCTACCTTTGCTGGTTGTTAACTTATTATGGTGTGTGCTTTGTCTTTATATATAAATACACTTTGCTGTGGACTGAACTGTCTCCCTAAAATTCACATGCTGAAAGTCCTTATGCCCAATGTGATAGTATTGGAAATGGGGCCTTTGGGAGGTGATTTGAATGAGATGAGGTCATGAGGGTGGAACCCTCCATGAACGGATCTGTCCCCTTATGAGAAGAGACCCCAAAGGTTTGCTTGTTCTCCCCTTCCACCGTTGTGCAGACAACAAGGTAGCCTGGCAAGCTAGGGGAGAGTGTTCTCACCAGGAACAGGATTGGCCAGCATCTTGAGCTTGGACTTTTAACCTGCATAACTGTAAGAAATAAAGTTCTGTTGTTTAAGCTACCCGGTCTATGGTATTTTGTTCTGGTAGTCTGAGTAGTTTTCATGACCATTTGAAAATAAGTTTCAAACATCATATTTCACCCCTAAACTATGCTTTTTTTTTACAGTGATGTTCTTTGTAACCACACTAACCAGTAGCACAGAGAATGTAATATCTAATAACTCACTCCATATTAAAATTTCCCCAGTTGTCTCCCCCCTCCCCCCCGCCAGTGACTTAACAGTACCTCCCCCAAATCCAGGATCCAGTTAAATATCGAGTGTTGTGTTAGTCAGTAGCCAAGTAGCTAAGTCAATGGTAGCCTGCCCTTTGTAATGTAGCTTTCTGGGTGCTTCAGATGTAGTGCAGTGGTTCTCAAACTCGAGCTTTGAAAACTCCGTGCCAGGATCTCACCCCAGACCAATTACATCAGAATTGCTGAGGGTGTAAGTATGGAATGTTAAAGCAATCAGAAGGATTAAAAATAGGCTGCAATCTCCCTTGATCTGCACACTTCTAATCCAGGCAAAGGTGTCATTAACTTGTCACCAGTCTTGTCACACTGTTGGCTTAGGTTGGGCTTGGGATCAGCTAATAATAGCCACCATTACTGAGCACTCACGGTGCCGGATACCATGCTTCATGCATTCATGCAAGATCTCTAATCCTACTACAGCCCTGTGAGTATGTAGCTATCCTTGTCGTATAAGGAAGGAAATGGCATCAGAGGTTAAGGAATCTTCTTGCTCAAGGTTACACCGGAAGTGACGGCCAGGATGCAGACCTAGCTTTGACCTCTCCAAAGACCCCTCCAGCAGCATGTCTTCACACTTAGTTTCTCATAAATACTGTCCTGCTTGATTCCTTCCCAGGGTGGCTGACTTCTTTTGGAACCTGGATCATAGGCTTTCTTTTTATCTGTTCTTGTTAACTTTTACATGGCTTAAGCCTCCCCTTTACCCGCTAGTTCCACCATCCAATTGCTGATTGTTCGGTGATGCTCTTTCTGGGAGTATCAGAAGCATAAATATTGGAGTGTCTGACTTGATTTCGGCTCAGGTCACGATCTCTCGTTTCATGGGTTTGAGCCCCGCCTTGGGCTCTGCACTGACAGTGTGGAGCCTGCTTGGGATTCTTTCTCTCTCTGCCCTTCCCCTGCGTGTGTGCTTGCATGCTGTCTCTCGCACCCTCTCTCAAAAAGAAGCATAAATGAAATTTCTATCTTGGAAACTTAATATATACCACTACAATGACATATGGGTTAATAAAGGGATAGGGGTGGTATTCTTGGGGGCATCTTAGGGTAGCATTTTCTAAAAATAGTTCCAAAGTAACCAATCTCTGTGCTCAGCATGGGAGCACAGGAGTCTGGAAATTTTCCTTTAACAATGAAAGTACTCTTCATAAAATCTGAGAATTCTGATTTCTCATAAACTTGAAAGAGTTAAAATTTACGGCACGTGGATGGAAGGGATTTTTTTTTTTTTTAAGATTTTATATGTAAAGTAATCTCTACGCCCAACCTGGGCTCTGGGGCTGGAAGTCACAACCCCAGGATGAAGAGTTGCAGGCTCCACTGACTGAGCCAGCCAGGTGCCCCTGGAAGTGATCTTAGTGTACAATGTATTTGTTCCTACAGACCTCAGTGGATACTTGCAGAGCATCATTCTAAAAGAAACCCCAGGCCACACACTGTCAGTTACTTTTAATAACCTCATGGTTGATTCTGTTCCACAAGTGCACTTAAAATTTTTTTCAGA